AAGAATGGTCGATTTTAATTGAATAAAAAAAAAGAAAAAAAGTTATTATTTAATTAAAAACCTTTGTATGATGCATAAATTCTTTTTATTCATATGTTTTAAAAAAAGATCATTCAGGTAATTTCATTTTGTATAACGTAAGGGAAAAATTAAACGTCGCTAAGAATAACCAACCATTCATCATACGCCTTTAACTTCTTATTACAATAGCAGCATTACGTTATTAGAAGCCTATCTTTGAACTACTCGCTATATTAGTGTTAAATATATTATGATAAATAAATGTTATTTTTATATATAAGTATTTAGATTTCGCGTGGATGCGTTTTTTATTAAAAAAAAAGTATTGCATATCGAACGATACTTTAATATATCAAACACTATTAAGATGGTTTCTTTAACGTGCCCAAAATCTAAAGTTATATTTCTCATTCTTGGAGTATTGATAATATGTAATTTGGTTTCGACTCAAAGTTATAATAAATGGGAAAAAATATTAACACGTAGAGATCTTCCTGAATATCAAATGAAATATAAAGAACCACACGTTTGTGATGAAAATGTTAAACAGGTTTATGCCATATTTATTTAAATCAGTGAATTTTATTATTACTTAGTATTAAATTGATAAAATTTTTTGAATATTAGTACTCTGGATATCTTACTGTTAATAATACTAAAAATATTTTCTTTTGGTTTTTCGAATCGAGAAATAAACCTCAAGAAGATCCAATTGTTCTTTGGGTAAGTAAATGCAGTAAGTTACAGTGCTTCATTTGTCCAATCCATTAATTAAAATTTCTATTTTATTAAAAATAGCTTACCGGTGGCCCAGGGTATTTTTTTTAAAAAAAACTTCATTGATAATATCATTAAAATGTACAGTCGATACTGTCTAATTACATATACTCTCTAAATGCATAAAAAAAATTGGGTTTAAGTATTAGCACAAAAAATTCTCTGACGGATGGCATATAATTAGACAGTATCGATTGTATTTTCCCGTAATTTTTATCGGGTCGAAAAATGTGAAAGATCGGCCTGCATTAAATTAGTATTGATTATCGTTATAGATTTAGCAATTTTGGATAATGTTTCACATTAAAAATTAATTTTTTTTAATTATACATCTAGATGTTCTGGTTTATCTGCCTTATTCTTTGAAATTGGTCCATGTACCGTTAACAAAGAAGGAAATAGTACAATTTTTAATCCTTACTCATGGAATAATAATGCTAGCGTTATTTTCTTAGACCAAGTATGAAAAGAATATTTTTTACTCTATTTGATATTGTTGTACAGATTTTTGACTAATAATCATAAATATAAACTTATCTTTATAGCCAGCTAATACAGGGTATTCTTATGGTGGTGATGTATCTACTACTTTAGAAGCTGCCACCGACATGTATACATTTTTACAAGCCTTTTTCCATGAATTTCCTAAATATTCGAATTTAAGTTTTCATATTGCTGGTGGATCGTAAGTATTGTTAACATTGTTAACATTGTTATTATCTAAGAAAATTACACAAAATAACTAGCTTCATTTATTAACAGATATGCTGGACATTACATACCGGCCTTAGCCGCAGAAATAAATAATAATAACAATAATACTTCGAACAATGTTTCTCATATCAATCTTGAATCCATCGTGATTGGAAATGGCCTAGTAAACCCTCTGGTGCAATACAGTTATTATCCTGACATGGCCTGTAACTCATCTTATGGACCTGTATTAAATAAAGATACATGTGATCAAATGAGAAGAGACTATCCTAAATGTGCTTCCGAAATTCAAGAATGCTACGATTCACAAGATACAACAAAATGCAGGAACGCTACAATGAATTGTTTTACGTTAATGCTTACACCTTATAATGCTGCTAATAGAAGTACTTTTGATATAAGAATACCATGTGATGATAGTCAAATGTGCTATTCGGGGTTAAGAACCATTGAAGACTTTTCTAATCGTGAAAATTTTAGGGCTGAATTAGGTGTTAATTCTACGTCGAGATTTCAGGCTTGTGACCATTCAGAAGTTTACCCAAAATTCATGCAATCCGGTGATATGTAAGCAATCTCAATTTATCAATTAATATAAATTAATCTACAGTCATATCTGTGTTATATCCCCTCTTATTTAATATCTTAGTTATATCCAAATAAATGAATAATACATTTAGTTATATTTATATCTCAAAAAGCATATAGGGAAAAAAGTTGTGATATAACTAGGTATGGCTGTAGATTAACTTTATTAATGCTCCTACAGTGTTTTATACCTACATGTGAGCTATCAAATAACTGGCAAGTGGTACTGTATATGCAAAAATGTTCACGTTCCCTCTGAAATCTTATATATTTAAAATTTATAAAAATATATTAAAATATATAATAGGTGTTAAAGCGCAATAGATAAGTTAAAATTTTTTTAAAAAAAGATACGTTAAATAATATTTTCTTTCAATGTAGAATACTTAGATTCGACCAATTGATTCCGCCGCTCTTGGAAAACAATATTCGTGTATTGATATACGCAGGTAATTTTTATAAACAAATTAATTTTTGTCTAATAACTTTTATTCAATTTATTATAACAATATTATTTTTATAGGCGATGCTGATTTTATTTGTAATTGGTTTGGTAAGCAATATGAAGAAAATTTTATATATAGTTTGAACTTAATTTTACTATGTAGTGATTTTAATTCATAATTATATTTCATTCAGGTAATGAAGCATGGGTAAAACAACTTGAATGGAGCGGTAAAGAAGGTTTTAATAATGCTAATGTTACTCGTTGGATAACAAAAGACACTGCCGAGTACGCTGGAGATGTTAGAACTTTTAAAGGATTTACTTTATTGAAAATTTTTAATGCTGGACATATGCCACCTCATGACCAGCCAAGATCATGTTTAGATTTCTTTAATAGATGGTTATTCAAGGAAAGTTTATAAATGAGTATTGGATCTCGTTAAATACTTAGATCATTTTGTGTTTTATATTTTTCAACTAGATTATTTTATGTTATATATTTTTCAACTAGATTTTTTTTTTACATATGGCATCAACATCGAAATGATAAATATAGCATGTACACAAATTTAAAACAAAGCCTTTAATAATAATTCATGTAAATTAGAAGCAATATAATAAATGATTTAAAAAAAAAAAATAATAGAATCTATTTTTAAAAAAATGAACATAATAAGCCTCTGTAGGAAATGAACGTAAAGCAATATAGTTTTCGAAATTGATTTCATTACAAATCTTTTTACAAAAAACATTTTTACTTCACGCTGATGCTTTCAAGAATATTTTTTCATAAATGAATTTGAAAGTTTATTTTTATTTTTTATTACATAGTTCTTAATGTTTAGCACAACTATCTAAAACAATCTATAAGATGGCACGGGTTTGGCGTATATCTAGTAGCTCACCCATAAAATTTTTTCCGACGCGTGATTTTTAGCCAATTAGATCGTAAGATTAAATACATGAAAGCAAAACAATCGAATAAGCGAAAGATTTAATGCAATAATATCATCTTAGGGTTATAATTAAGATCAAGGGATGGGCATAGATGATACCAAAATTTTGCAAGGAATTTTTTTTTTTTGTTAGAATACAGAAAGCAGGTTTATTTCGAGTTATTGGCGATTTTTGTAAAAAAAAACAAAAAGGCGTAATTTTCATGTTACACCTGATCTTTCAATCTAATTGGCTAAAATCACGTGCCGGAAAAATTTTGTGGCACGGGTTTGGTGGCACGAGTAAGAAACTGGTTTTGTACATATGAGGTTCTGATTGGCACGGATTTGTTGGCTCGTAATAGGCCAATTGGTCCGTTAGTGACTTGGGTTTGTAACATTTTACTAGTCCAATTGGTACGGATGGCACGGATAAGAAACATGTTTTGTACGTATGAGGCTCGAATTGGCACGGATTTGTTGGCTCATAATGGGCCGTATACCAGTGCCAATTGGACCGTTAATGGAAGAATTTGATGAACCCCGAGATAAGATAGTTATTTGTTGCTTTAATATTAATTCCTAATAAGTTTAAATGTTTAAATCTTACAGACTGGGAGGGGTATAGAATAGAGTTGTAGGTGAAACTAGTTAATTACACCAGGTGAATTGGTGAAACTGGTGCACCATAGTATATTTTAAAAAATAAAATGGTGCAACTGGTGATATTGGTGAAACTGGTGATATTGGTGAAACTGGTGACATTGGTGAAACTGGTGACATTGGTGAAACTGGTGACATTGGTGAAACTGGTGATATTATATGATGTCAAGTAAGGCACTGCGAATTGGTATAATATTGACTAATATGAAAGCTGTTCGTTCAGCTCTAGAGAGCTATTTTGTTAAAACTTCTTCGCCTTATAAATAATTATGCTAGTTCAATACTATTTTTTATACAATATTTAAACAAAAATGATTATAACCTGAGCTTCATTTATCCTTTTATCTAATAATCGGTATATAGTAACTCTAAATACCTATAATAAAATAAGGTAGCTACAGCACGTGGTACCACGCAGGACCAGTACGATCACGTATCTAGATATTTTATATTCATATGATAAACATTTGATTCGTACCCTGAGTAGATTATATAGTGAATTATCCGGGGCATTATGTGAAGAGGATATATTAACCTATCATGACAAAACTTCTATACCTTTAATTATAGTAATACAAAAATTCTGGGCTGAATACTCTAAAATTCTTGGTCCGGGCCTAATACAGTCACAGGATCCCGAAATACAACAAACGTGCTGCGCAACAGTTGTACTAAAAGCAATTAAATTTAATCAAGAATATGCCTTGTGCAAAATAATAAATTTCATAATAATTACTGCTAAGGAAAAACTTCAAACCGGAAATTTAAATTTATTATTATTATATCAGATATATAATATCACGAAGCATATGGTTTATATTAGGGTGGGGAACGGGCCCAACAGGCTTTTTTTGGAAATTAATTCGGGCCATCTTTTAAAACACTGGTCACATGGTAATTTAACATGTGACCAGTGTTTTGAAAGATGGCCCGAATTAATTTCAAAAAAAGCCCATTAAGTTCGTTTCCCACCCTAGTTCATATGGCATTTTTTAGTGATGTATTTTCCAAATACATTAAATGCAACAAAACGATCGGCATCAATAAAGTTTAGACCATGCAAAGTTAATTTTTCGTTTCGCATAACCCGCCAACCCAATTTTTCTAAAAAAACTTTAATTTTTTTTTAAATTCCTATTGTGCCAATTATTCCATTTAATTTTTTCTCCGGTATCACCCGATTATGGCCTTAATTTTCTGGAAGTACCCGATAGTCTGAAAAAAAAATCAAAATTTTCTGATTCCATGTTATGCAAACCGAAAAATTAACTTTGCGTAATCTTAGATGTGAACATGAATTAATTTAGGCCACGCAAAGTTAATTTTTTTTTTTTTTTTTTTTTACAGCTGGTTTCATTATTCCTGGGACACCTATAAAAAAATTAGCCGAAAAATTTTT